CAGATGAAAAGTGGGTGGATTGAAGTCAACAAGGGATAACTGAGAGCATTTAAGAAATTGTTTAGTTAAGGGCTAGTGAGACAGGGACGTACTAAGTAGGACACATAGTAATAATGCTGTGCATGAGTATATTGAATCTGCACTGGAATCTGAAAAGCACTTCCAGATCTGCCCTGAGACAGTGCAGTAGCTGGGATATTTTTGTGTGTCCCTACATGCAAAACCCACCATTTAAAAGTAGTAAGATAAAAAATAATAATTGAACTTAGAAAATAATATTTGGAGCTACTTTTCCAAAGCACCTGGAAGTCACCATTGTAATTCAGACCAGGAAAAAAAAAATAAAAATAGGCATACTTCCTTGCTTCTCTCTCCTCTTCTTCATCCACAGAGGAATAAGGTGACCTGAGTTTCACAGGGCAAGAAGTCTCTGAGCACTCCATCTGAGTGTTTCTCTGCTTCCAGAGGCAGGCGAACGAATGAAGAGTGAATTCACACTTTAAAGAGCAGCGAAGACCATCTTGCCATGAAACCATTCACAGATGAAGATGTAGAAAACTACATCCAGAGCAAGGTAAGGCTTTATCTGTCCAGATTTTCTGTCTCCCACACTAGGTGTTGATTCCGAAGGGTGCCAAACTTGACAGTTACTTGCTTGCCTGCTGTCTTCATTTCTGAGACAAGACTGGGTGAAGTTTCATGAGAACTGTATTTTTAATGAGATTTCTAGGTTCCCGTTGCAGTATGTTATCAGGGATCTCAGCTGGTAGCCTAATTTTTTCAAGGTTCTTGTCCTCTTCTTCAAATGTCCTTAATTTTTGCTCCTGGTCTGGAATTCCAGATGTGAGACTAGCTGTAATTGCCAGCATTTAAATCTAAGGAAAGGTCCTTGCCTCTCTCCCTTTCTTGTGGTCTTGGTTTGACAGAAACAAGACCAAAACCACACCAGGCATTGCCTGTATGAAAGATTCATGTAGGAACTAGAGAGACAGACAACTATTTGTTAGAATTCACTCATCAGTCTGTCACCTCAGCTAAGGATACTTTCCTATATACCATGATAAAAATAACGTCTCATTAGCACATGCAGATTGGAACCACATTTTCTATTTTATGAGATACTCCAGCTCTCAATTTTTCCCCCCATTATGAAATAAAGTAAAACAGAATAAAATCATCTGCAAAACAATACTGTTTAATAAAAGTACCTCTAAGTGAGCCATAACAATTTTTAAAGCTGACATATTTCATCTCAGTACTTAGCTAGATCCTGTTTTATAGTCTGCTTTCTCAACAAAATGCAAGATACCAAGATGAAAACTAATTTCAAAATGGGAAAATGTATGATTTTACATTCTGTAAAGGATTACATATTCTAGTACAATGAAGGGGCTGATAAGAAATGTTTGTTTTCTCTATGGAAATGTTTTGGTGACAAGTAGATATATTTCTGTGAGAACTTTTCATTTTTCAGCCATGCAGTGTTGTGCACAGGAAAATCATTCCATCAGAATCTGTTCAGTGAGCTATAATAGCGAACACTTCTCTGAAGATTTAAAAAGCAGAGCTACAAAGGAGGGAACTGAGGGAAGCCATGCACAGGAAGATGCTCATATGACAGCTATAAGTACAGGGAACAGAAGCAGAGTGTAGTTAAGTGAGGCTCATAGTTGCTAATATTTGAAGTTCTACTGAAAGTCTGTTTTCTAGCAGCCCTCCAGATCTGATGGATTCCTAGTTTCTGTCTGCTCATGAGTCTCCTGTCCATTGGCTGCCTAACCTTCAGGCAATCCCAGTTCAGCTTTGTCAAATGCTGCCTGTTTTTGAAAATAGCTCAACCACCTGGTGCAATGAATCTCTATAATAGCAGAGATTTCTTCCTTAAGCCACTCAGCAAAAGAAAAACTCAAGTGCATCTGGAGAGGATGTGACTGGGTAAATGAGAGAAAACCCAAATGTTGTTAACAGTTCCTAATAAATCCCAGTCTTGCTTCACTCCTCCTTAATGAGTCCTTAATTGACCTTGTTGTTCTAGTTTTGTGCATTTCTTTTGGCCTGATTCCCCTGGTTAAGACCTGGTAAGGGGAATGCCAATAGGTGGTAGAAACAGAGACCTTATGCTGTCTCTTCTCTCAGCATGTCTGTCCTGGTGCTAAAGGCATCTGAGATAAATGCCTTGGCTCTTCAGAAGCTGCATTCACTCGCACATGTTCTGTCTTCTGATTTTTATGCCCTCTCTTCTGTAGGAAGGTTATATTTTCCAATAGTATGATTAGGGAGCTAATTATGGTTAGGAACAGTAAGCACCCTCTGTCACACGTCTCTCGTTCTTTTATCCCTGCCCCAGTGATGAGGAGCACACGCGAAAAGAGGTGTTTAGTTGTACCTTCCTCAATAGGTTTTTTGAGAGTCTATACTCTTGTAAAGAGTTCATGCCAACTGCTGTAGCCTAGCCAGTAGGTGACGAAGGCAGAAGTAAATGCGGCCAGGCTGGGTTGGTTGGATTCTCCCAGGATATTGGAGGTGGCAGAAGGTGTTTCTAGGAGATGCCTCTTAGAACATAGCATGAACAATGCATACAGAGGCACTCCAGGTCTCCATTTGAACTGACCCATGGAGAGATTGTATACTTTCAGTATTTTTCAATAGAAAAAGTCTGCTTTTTTGTGTAAAAGCTCTTAGAGGTGGACAATTTTCTCTACCACTCACCATTCACTAGTTGGAGAAACCATTAGGTATCATGTTGAGCAAGACAAGCTTATTGGATTGTCCTAAGTTGTTCTGGATGAACAAAAATAAGGTGGAGAAAATAGCTATAGCTACAGATGGAGAAGTGCCATGAATGAAAGCTGAGATGAGGAAGTGAAAATGAATATGGGCTAAAATTTTTCAGTATAAATTAAGAAAAAAAAGATACATATAACCTAGCTAAAACTGGTCTTAGAGAACAAGGATGAATTGGAATGAGGAGGAGGGTGAATCACTAGGGAAATTAAAGGATATTATATAAACAAAAGGGACTATATGGTGTTAACATAGCAAAGAAACTCTGTCAAGGGTAGATGAGGACCCAGGGAAGGGAATATGATACTGCTATCCAATCCATTTCCCACTTGCAAAAGCTATTCAGGCTTAGTAAAAATACTGTTAACTTTGGCTATGGGGGGAAGGTATTCAAATTCTGCTCACCCTCAAATTCAGTGTTAGTTCATTGGTTAATTGATCTTATGCAAGCACTAGTCCATTTTAGTCCATTGAATGGTCCCTTATTTTGAAAAAGTGAATCTATTTGTTCCTTTTGAAGGCCTGGGGACACATTTCAACACACTTGAGTGTTTTTGTCTGATAGTTCAGCATTTGACATAAAGATGTCCTAAAGGACCTTAAATGAAGTGCTTGTCAACAGTATTTTCTAAAAGGGAAAAAAAAAAGAGTGTTGTTTAGGTGCTGCAGATGCTGAGAAAGTAGGACACAGGAGTTTTAGAACAGTCACAGACTGATTTGGGTTGGAAGGGACCTTTTAAATATCATCTAAGTGCCAATTCCCTGCTGCGGACAGTGACATCTTTCACCACACCACTTGGCTCAAATTGTCATCCAGCCTGGCTTTGAACACTTCCAGGGATGGGGCATCCACAGCTTCTCTGGGCAACCTGTTCCAGTGCCTCACCACTCTCACAGTAAAAAATTTTTTTCCTTATGCTTTTGCTTCCTTTTGGTCTTAGATAATAACAAAAGACTGTAGCAATTATGTTTGACTGTGGCAATTATGCTTGATGATTCACTTAAGCCAAGCTGTTAATGATCTAACACTCCTGTTTCATACCTGCAAACAGCCCAGTGGAGGTTTTAGTTCTTGCTCAGGGGCAGTTGGGTTAATTTTGTAGTCTTTCAAACGTCCCATCTGTTTCTGATTTTATTTTCTTGCCTGCAAACAATAAGATTTAGTAGAGTATGGTGAGGAAAAAGAAAAATCAAGAAGAAAGCGAAAGTTACAATCAAATGAGATAAAGCATAGGATGCAAAAAAGGACAGTAAACAGTCTTAATATCTCACTCTGTGTAGGTAATTCTGGGTGAATAAGTAATTATGAATATGTTCATGAATTTCATTAACAGAATCTCCTCACTTTGTTAAATGTGTAAAGATATTTGAGAAGTATTAAATATCCTTTACTAACATGGTTTCTCTCATGTTCCTCCTGTTGAATCTCCTTGTTCAGATTGTGACCATCCCCTTGCGCTCCATTCATCTTTAGTCATGTATGAAGGCGAAGGTTCATCTTGATATTTTTCTGAGTTGTTCATCCCTCACCTCAGTCCTTTCAAGACTCAGACTTTCCACTGAAATAATTTTCAGTAAATAATTTTGCTACTCCTGCTTGAATTGAAGAATTATCCATTGAGTCACACAAACACCTAGTTCCCAGTGGGACCAGCTTTGGAAAGATGCTTGTTCACCATCTAGGAGTAGACTCTCATTTTTACTTCAGCTATGAAGAGAGTATGGACACTTCCAATGTATAATGTAGGCATCTAAATGATGCTGCATACACCTGACACCTGACTAATGCACAGAGTATCTGTAACTCTTGAAGTGTTCTCAGCTCTTAGAACGAAACATATCCTGGCTCCGACAATGGCTAGTATATGCATGGGAATAACTGGCATCAAATGGATAAAGAATGAGACTGTAACTGGTTGATAACAAATTTATCCATTTAATGAACCCTTTTCCTTCTGTCTAATGGTATTGGCATGGAAATATCAATTAATGGTTGGTAGTCTTGAATATTGGCCCTGTGATGTTTACCAGCTCTGTCTTATAGTAAATCAGTTGCAACACACAGGAAACAGTAAGTTTCAGGATGTTTTAAGCTAGTTGACTGTTCCTAACTGGTGACAATCACTGGAGTTACCTGTAACATGAAGTGTCTTTCCTGGAACTGACAGGTGGAACGGCGACATCACCTGGTTTCCAAAGCAGTGGAGGAGGTGCAGAAAATCATCCAGCAGCTGACCACAGAAATCAGCCATAAGGCCATACGATTCCAGGCTATCTCCAACTCTGGCATTCACAATGAGAACATTAAGGTATGAACAAGAGCCCTGATATACTCTGGCAGCCTGCAGGCAATCAGTAAATGATTTCTCCATTGTGTGGGCAGGTACCTCACCCAAAACACCACAGACAATGTGCTGACACTTCACTGTGGGAGTTCTAGTGACTGGGTTATAGAGGCTTACTCTCATGGACATCTTACAATTAGAAGAGTATCAGAGAGGGATGGGTAAATCAGGCAGAGCCTCTTTTTACAGCTGCTGTGTTTACAAAGAGCATCTGTTGCTAGAGCTGTCAGTCTGCAGCAGAAGGCAAAGTTCTTTGGGAGACAGAAAGAAAAACTTGTACAGCAGTAACATAAGAAAAATCCTCATGCCTCCATGAGCTATGACTCATATTTTTCACAGGTGGAAAACCTGTCAACTCATTAAAAAAAAAGAAAGGAAAATCAAAAGTCCTTCTGCTATGAGCATTAGAAAGCTCCTTCAGAAAAATGGGGAGTTTTTGTCATAGATTGGAATTTCTTTTTAACTTGGAACAAATATGCTTATTAGTGGGAGAAATTAAATGCCTCCCCATTTTAGACCTTCAAATATGAAAATAATAATGAGACAGATGAAGACTGGTTGTTTTAGTTATTTCCTGTGGCTATGTAATACAAGAGTAATTAAGAAAGATAAGATAAAAGATATAAGAAACAATCACAGCAATGGCAACTTCTGATGAAAATTATCTTTTTCATCTAAATTAGTTTTTACATACTCTAGCTGTGTCAACCTTATACTAAAATGCAGCCAGTTACAGATCAAAACACAGCAAACATGTAAAAGCATTTTGCAGCTCTCTAGGATTGAAAGGGAAGAAGTCTGTGTGTACCAAGCTGCTGGAAGGTTATGGAGATGGAGGCAAAATATAATCACCCAGTTGGCAATATGGCTATTGTCCTGGGAACAAAGACATTCAGATTTATAGCTTTTCTGGAATTTCGTGTATCCCAGGGCACGTGGCCTTGTCAATAGGTATGACCACAGTGATGTAAAACCACATCCTGGTCCACGTGTTCCTTAGTGCCAGAGTCTGCCAACCACCTCTTGTGCTGGAACAAACCTGCTTAGCTAATGAGGTCTGACAGGACCAGGGTCAGGGAAAAATTGTTGTTCTGGAAAACAAAGCAGAACAACAAAACCACCAAGGCAATCTATTCTGAGCAGTAATTTGGAGTTACAGTAGGCTGATCTGAACAATTTCTGCTTGGAAGAAATCCTCAAAATATATTTTCTTAAAAAGTGGCAGATTTGTTATTCATACTTAACTGAACCCAGTGTTATAAATCTGTGGAAGTAACACTAGGAGGGCCTGACTAACTTTTGTCCTGTATATATAGGGCAACGAAGAATGGGTTGATGAGAAATTATTTTGGCTTGGGCTGTCTGCTTTCAAAAATTGGAAACCTTGATATTCTTGCTGACATAATTCAACCTAGAGGAGACTTGTGTCAAGGGAAAGTCAATGTATTCATTATTCTGTGTTTAAATTTGCAACATTTTTCTTTCTGTCAGTTAAATTTGAAGAACTTTTCAGAACTTTCAGCTTCTGGTTGCAGTGACTTTTCTGAACTTTCAGCTTCTGGTTAAAAGGAATCAATTTAACATGGTGAGAGGTCTGGATTTATTGAGAAGCCACAAACTTCTTTCTAAATATGCATGGCTAAGAGGAGAATATATAAGAAAAGTCTTTAGATATTCAGTGTTTCTCTGTAACCCACACAACAAAAAGTCAGTCTTTAATAAACAACTTGAATTAAAATTCACGTGGACAAACCCACATTATTTTATTTGTTTTAGTTGTGGCCCACCATTTTTGCAGCTGTCAATGGTGCAAGGCTGGTGCAAAAGCTGTGGAGGCTTCAGTAAGGCGTAATGAACAGGTTAGGGTCCAGACTAATCACTCGTGCAGCACCGCCCAATGGCATTGCCAAATGTTTAACTCTGTAATCACAATGGGGGCAGGGGGAAGATTTTCCTTTAAAAAACAGGCTCCAAGGAAGCTTGCAGCTTTGCTCTGTGAATGAATGACCTGGCACATGCTTTCTCTCTGTTCTTCTTGTGTACTTCTTGTTTTCCTTTCTGCTTCTCTCAGGATCAGCCAGCTTTACTGGCTAAGTGGTCAGCTATGCTTCGGAGGAAGCGCCCATTCCACCCATCTATCCAGGTACAAAGCCTTCCTGCCACCTGGTGCCTGACAGTCCATATGCCTGCTTCCTCCTCACCGACCCTCTTCTCCGGACAACTTCACCCCCCTAACTGATCCTCCCACAACTATTTCATCCTCTCCACAAGAGACTTCCCTTGGTTTTTTTTTTCTCAAAGCATAACTATTTTCTTTCTAACCTAAAGCTTCTGCCTCCCTGGAACATCCTGGCCAGGACTGCAAGAATGAGGTTGTATTTAGTTTGCCCAGCAAACTTCAGACAGGTTTTTAATGCAGCACAATTGGCTATAATTTACACACCCCAGAATTTGAGGCTCTTGATCAAGCCTGTGACTTGCTGGGGTCCATGATCTGCATATAGCGCATAAGACCATCGTGTGACAGAGCATAGATATAGGACTGGGATTTGTTTAGGCCAAGAGGACACCAGCTGCCCAGCTTTACAGTGCCATCCCCAGCCTTTAGTCTTCTGTTGTTTCCTGGTAAGCCCCAGGTGGAGGACCCTGTGACTTGCATTTGCAGGCACTCACATAACACCTTCAGCTCTTCACTTTACGATCTGTTGGGTGCCAGTGTGTACAACACAGCATCCTGGTATGGGAAGGAATGGGGGTTTATCTGCAGATGTGGCTGAGGCAGTGAGATAAGCAGTAACTGCATGACAGCCATTGTATTTTTTCCTTATGGAGCCTTGCACTCTGCTTCTGAGCTGCTCACAGGATTACTCAACCCCACCAAACCTGACAGGTACAGGTCAGCCTGATGTGAAATGTCATCTTTCCAGTATCCTCCTGCCTTTACGGTTTTTACTTGACAAAAGAGCGGCTTTCTGGTGTTTCCTTTGCCATTTCTGTGCTTCTTGCTGGCCATCTTTTGTACTTCAAATCTCTTGCCAGGGAGCAGAGAAGACCAGCTGCTCCCTATGGGGGAGGGAGGTGGGAGGGGAGCATAACAAGGCAGCTTCTGCCTTGTGGTGCTCGAGTGAGGCAGACCTAGGGAGGGCAGCTGGGTCAACCAAGAGTCTGGGTCATCAGGTAAGTCTGCTGATAAGGCAGGTCATCAGGTAAGTCTGCTGAAGTCAAGCCAGGAGCACTCACCAGGGTCAGGATCAGCTCCAACAATATTAACCAGGGTCAGATGCCGTCTACTGATTGCCAGGCAAGCCCAGAGTGGCCAGCTAAGTCTGAGGCCAGGCTGGGAAGGCAGTCTGCAGATAGGACAACAAGGTCTATGGCCAGCACAGGCATAGCTGTCACACAGTTGGAGACCAGCATTCCTATGATATAGCCCAGGGTTCAGCTGAAATGGGGGTCCCAGACCCACAGGCAGATGCTGTGGGTAGAAGTCCTGGAGAGGCTGCTTAGGGCCATTAAAGCCTGTTAGTGCCCTCAGGGCCTTGGCACCTCTGTGGTAATATTTTAAATCAGCTGACCTACCAGGAAGGCTACCAGAGTGTTTTGGGTTATTACAGGAGAGTGACAAGCGTGTTTCGTTCACCTTGGGTGTACCCACCTCACAGCAACAGCTGTCACTTCACATTCTGCTTGTGCAGCAGTTTTACCTTATTTATGCCAATGTAAGTTAGGTTTGGTAGCAAGTGGACTTGAAAGGCTCCTGAGCCAACACAGTAAAATCTGAAGGAGTTTGAATACCCTTTCTGGAGCCACAACTGCCAGATGCTTCCAAACTAGCATTTTGAGATGTCTGGCTATGCCCTGGGCCAGTATGAAGTTTCAAGGTATTTGTGTCATCTTATTCTTTCTTTGCAAATATTGACTCAGCACTGGTTTTATTGGAAAATGGTCATTCCCAAAATGAGGCAAATTAGATGTCTTGAAAACAAGCCTATTGAGGGTTCCTTTCCCATTGGTTGCTGCCTCCATCCTTACACTGTTTTTATCCTATGCTCAGCAGGAGATGCAGTTCCATACAGTAGAACTGGCCAAGACCTGAGCTTATTTCTGCAAATGCCACTGCCTCTGTAGGCTCAGGCATATCACTTGCCTTATGTCTCTGTCTTTTTAAAGGACAATCATACAGAGTGAAACACTTGTAAAATTAATGGCCTATAGTCTTATTTTACTAATGTCTGTAGTGGACTTTGACAGAGATCAGAAAGGTGCACTTTTTGCCATAGTTATTATTAATATTGAACTCTCAATTAATAATTCTGAGGAAATAAATTGCACTATTTTGTTTCCCTTTGCTGTATCTCAAAACATACTCTGATGCTTTCCTGCTCCTTGGAAGCTGCCAGTTATTATATCTCATGCAATTGCAGACTAGAAATAACACAAAAAGGGGGAAACCATATGGTGGCAAATCAGTCAGTGAGCTCTTGCGTTCTAAGGGCCATGGCTGTCACATCAGACTCCTCCTAAGGCAATTTCCTTTTAATCTGTGTACCCACAAAGTAACTCTCAGAGACAGGTACGGAACAGGTCCTGGCTATGTTCAATTGTTCCCATCATACCTTGGCTTTTCCTTTTCTCCAAAGCCCCCAGTTTTACCTGTTACTTCCTTAACCCCCTTTTCTTTACTTCAGGCTCATGGATCTGCCCTTGTCTCCTCTCTCAATCTCTCTGAACTCTCCCAGGTCTTAGCACCCAGCCAGTTCCTCATCACAGTCCCTCTGCGTGGCCTGACTGGGTACAGGGAATGCCAGGTACGGCACTGGCGTTATTACACCATAAATGGAGCCAAGCTCCTCTCCTCCGTGCGGGACCCTGAGGAATTGCATCAATGGCTAGAGGTGGAGCAGTTCTCAAAAAGCCTTCAGCAGTGGCATGAAGAGGATGTGAACATCGAAGGTGATCTGGTTCCAGCCAAAGTCCTTATCGTCTTCCGGGAGCTGGTGGAGAAGTCGATTATCTCCTGTAACCTCTCCAGTGAGTTTAGTGGGGACAGGTATAAGGGAAACCATCATACACACGAAGTGTTTGTTTGGCTCACATGATCAGAAGCCAAGAAATAGCAAATCCCTCCAAAATCAGGAAGCCTTTAGGTGATGCATGTAGACCTGCATTAAAGATAGAATTAAGTAATTCTCGGGCTCTTCATACCCAAGGTGTTACTGCTTTCTTATAAATTTGAGTAGGGTCTCCAGAAACATCACTCTCACAGTTCAACCAAGAGGCAGCCCAAATTTTTAGAACATTTAGGAATTTGTTTGGGAAAAAAAGTCTTTTTCTACTACAGCAGCTGCAATATATTTATACTATCAAGGAAGGTAGTATAGGAAAATTTGATACAGGGAGGGTGCATAAGTCTGAGGAGAACGTGTTTGAAGATACTTACGAGCAGATAGTTTTCTGGGAAAACCTTAGCTGCCCATAGCTTTCCAGCATGGACTGGTGGGAACTAAGTAGGACTTCTACTTTAGGCAAAGTGTGTTAGACAAATGCTCCTTTCCCAGTGTCCAGGCTACTCCAGTCCTGTTCTGGAAGTGGACTCAGGAAGTTTACTTTCAGTAGTGGAGCTGCAACCTCTGTGAGCAATCCAAAGTGCCTGTTTATTTCCTGTGACTGTTTATACTGGAAGTGCTGTTCACTAACATAACGTGGTCAGTGGTGCACAGAACATGCCTTGACAACTGCAACATCTGTATCAAGATGCTGCTGAACAGTGATCCTCGGATTTAATTCTTAGCATCCTAGAGGCATGTTATAGAATTCAGCTACTGACAGTTTGGCTTGTCCAAGCTACATAGTCTGTGTCCATCTTTTCACATTAAGATACTGGGGCATGATTAAATCCAGACTGTGGTGCCTCTTTTCATGGCATGTTTCCAGGATGACTCCTTACTCATCAGCAGCCTAATAGGGATCTTCTGTATTTCAGAGCAATAGGAGCCATATCCACTATCTGATTGCACTCTGAATTGTGAGAGAACATGCTAAAGACAAGCTCAACTAGATAATGACATTTTTTCAAGAAATATTTGTTATTATAGAAATGGAAAGGTGGATGGGAATGAAATTTCACCATCAAGGCTCATGGAAAAGACCAACGGGAATGGGCTTGTCTCTGAAGCTTTACTTATGTGAAAGTTACTGTATTGAAGTGAAAACCTGCCACTGTGTCTAGCAGCAGTACATCAACTTGTTGTGACAGGAGAATTACTTCAAGGAACCCAAAGCATAATGTTTGGGCTGATGATTGTGGTGCTTTTTTTGTAAGACACACTGGGAGGAATGAGCTAAGATGAACTCAGGAGAAGCAATTACCATTTTTGTTTGTTTCTGTGAAGAATGATTTTCCTTCATCACATAGTACGGCTAAAGTTACAGAAAAATTTCCCTGGTTTCATTGCTTTCCTGGTTTTTAATTCTTTGAGCATCAGCAAAGCCATTTTTTGAGGTGTCTCACTTTTCATTGGTGGAAAAATAGGTATCACAATTGGAATGCTTTTGGAAATGCCGTGAACATATTTACATGCTGACACAGCAGTTGCTTTAACACTTTTCAGCTGCCGGGGATCCTTGCTGAGAGCTTGGGAGCAGTATAGTTCCTGGTTTTGTGCCAGGCTTGCCTCGGCAGGAAAGTATGAAGTTCTGGTTGGGATGGACTTTACTATTTGCAAGGTAATTCACCCAGTGCTTTCTGGAGGAGATGCTAAACTGGGGTTAGGCAGATATTTCCTCTGTAAGGGCAGAAAAGGTTGCCCTCCCAAATGTTCATCACTGTCCCTTCAAGTCTGGTACGTGGGCTCCTTGTGGAATAGCTCCTTAATCCATGCCAATCAAAATGAGGCACTAACACACTGCTATTTAAACTGCTTTTGTTAACCTGCTCAGTCTTCTACTGCAGTGGTTTAGGAGCAGAGCTGAAGGGACAGTGATCCTACCAGAGTGACTGGGAAAGCTGGGGTCAGCAATTTCTTCTATGAACACAGCTGAACCAACGGGAAACGATCTCAAAGTCCATTAGTTGCAGCTTTCTTTCCTTTCTGCACTCTTAGAGCATGTTGTTCTTGGAGATGAGCCACTCTTCTTTCACACTGAAGAATCTTCCTTCCTCCAAATCACCTCAGAAGTAGCTCTTTTTGACACTCTGCATCCCCACGATCTATCAGTTAGCCTTTTTTATATGACTACTCTGCACAGCAGCCCATAAATTCTGTGCAAGTGCATCTCCAGAAACAAAACTTACAGATACTCCACAAAACATTCTGAATGACTGGCAATGGTGTGATATGGCGAGGGTTTGATCTCAGGTTCTCTGAAGGAATAAGACCATCTTTAGATATGAAGCGTTCATCTGGTCCTCTCTAAACTGCAGTGATCTCCTTGTACTGTACCATTAGAAATGTTAGGTTGCACCAGTCATCTAGCTGTATTTTTAAGAAGCTGATCCTAGGATTTAAGAGGACCCACAAAAGAAAACAAAAGCATGGTAATTGAATGTAAAATTGAGAACTTAGTTGGTCTTTCATCTTCTTCCTATTCTTGTTCACCAGGATAGATTTAGATAGATTTAAGTTCTTCTTAGATTCTGCTTATGGCATTGAAGAGGAAGTGTTAAGACAGACCAATAGAACTGCAAGATCTACAAGGTTGGCTTGTAGAAAAGGACCTTTTCATTTATATTATCTTCTCTTGTTGTTCCTTCACAGGTAAAGTGACGGTGCTGGAGAGCTTCAGCTCAGTGGTCCGGGTGGCTGTGGAGACATCAGAATCCCAGGTTGAGGTGGAGCTGGTCCCTGCTGTGGAGATTCCAACTTGCTGGCCCGAGAAGGCCCGGTGGCCTCGTTGCCTCAAGCGTTGGCCTTCTCAGGAAAAAGTGCGGTGCATCAAGGTAAACAGTGTATAAAGAACTATTAACTCTGTGCTGGAATTTACCTCTCAGGTGACAGTCACTTCCCAAAGGAAGAACTGCATGGTGATGGCAGGCAACAGCAGGGCTGGAAGATGTATTCTCTAGTGAAGTGTTTCAGAATATTCTGTCAGATTTTATTTGGATTTTTATCCCCCTTACAGTGGTGGATTCTATAGAAGAAAACCTGAGTTAACTATTTATTGCATGAGTCTCTTGCACACAGCTCTGCCATTGCTGACATGCATCATTTTTGCTGTTCTGCTCTGCCTCATATAAGCCTTCAGCAACTGCAACTCCAGCCTAATCCCACCTTTCCCTACAACAGTCATCGCTGGATTCTGGCACTCTGGCTCAGCCCCAGTTGCCATGTTTCTGCAGGTCCCATTCCGCTTTCCAGGACTGCTCCACACTCATGCACAACCTGCTGTTCCACAGCAAAGTGCCTGCAGAGCTGCACCTCTGCTTTAGTGGCACTGCTGGTACTGTACCTGATGGCTCTAGAGCAGGATGTCTTGGGAGTAACTGATACCAGCACATGAGGAAACAATACAAAATGCATGTTTATTCGACTCAGAATTAGGGTGTGAGCACGCCTCATTTGCTGCCTCTGCTAACCCTGTTTAGAATACGCTTTGAGAGATGTCACACGTCCTTTTTGTAACATCTCTCTGCATTGCTCAGAGAAGTTTGCCTCTGATCTGCTGTCACACTTCCCCTTTTGTTCACAGTCACTGGGTTTCGACCTTTTGGCCCGCTCCAATTATCACTGGCAGCTGTGCTTCTCCCGTGCTGAGCACATACTCATGGAAGGACTTGATGAAGATGGTGGTTGTCGCATGAAGTGCTTCAGGGTCATGAGGCAGATGAAGGAGGATGTCTGGTGTGCTGGAAATAAGCCTGTCATCACAGCTTATCACCTTCAGGTAGGCATCACTGTGATATCAACATACAGTTGCAGTAGCAGTTGCAGCGCCTTCCATCCAGTAATGTCAAAATATTGTGGTGTAAATCACTGTAGCACCTGTGTAACTTCTAAGGTAGCTGTCAAAACTGCAGTACCTTTTCATTGCTTTACAGTGGCAAGAAGTTCAGGAAATATATGTTTTCCAAACTTCAACAGGAAACTAAAGCCTGTAGGAACATTATGATTGCAGCAATATAAATAATGTTAGAGTTGAGGCCCCTGCTCTGTTTTGACTTCACACAGGCATTGTACTGTTGTCTGTAATTGCATACTTACCTCCTGCTTCTTGACTATCTCAGTGTGATAGTTTTATAGCCATCTATATCCATCGATCTGTGGATGTGCACCAACAAAACTGTCTTAGGTGAGCATTATTAATGAATTAGGTGCAAACTGCAGTTCTGGTGGTGTTTCACCTGGGGTAGGAAGGGAAGAAAGAAAGGGGTGGTAGCATCCTCCCTGCACCTACTTCAGGGTTCAAGATGGCTTCAAACAAGATTTGTGAAGAAGAGATGGAAGGCTCTGCTACGACTGTGTCCCCACATCTGACAGCTACAGATACCGATGGGCCAAGGGCAGCACCAGACTGTAGAGCAATCCTGTTTTCTGGGTCTCCACCCTCCTGGAGTTGCCAGGGAGCAGCTGTACTTTTCACACCTTGAAGCCTCAAGCTATCAGCTTTCCACAGTACTTACTGATATTTTGGTGTCCAAAACCAGATGCAATGCCAAGATTTCTCCTAAATAAAAAGCTTGTGACCATCAAATGCTGTTAATACGCAGGGCACTACTCCAAGTCAAGATGGAGTCAAAAAAGAGATGACGAGGCTGATTATAGCTTAGCAGAATGTAAAACTTCTCAGTGCCTGTAAGAACAACCTCCTGGAAAAACTGTCATAGATAGGAGAAAGTGGAAAACCATTTAACCATCAGCAACATTTTTTTTCTCTGGCTGGTGAAGCAGATGTGCAGGAAGTGCTGTTGCACAGATTCATGATCAAAATAAAAAGCTATTTAGAAGCTCTTCAGCTCTTTACTGTTACTGTACTTGAGGCTTTTACTGCAAGAGAGGATTGGTTTACAATTTTTCAAAATTACTTACATTAAACAGAAAAAAAGAAAAGAAAAAAGAAAGTAAAATGAGAGAAACAGTCACTGGATAAACCAGCAGTTGAGCAGAGGCTTAGTGTTAGGTTTCTTCCCGTTCTCAGGTTTCCCCCAACAGAGGTATCCAACAACTAGGATTAAACAAGACTCTGTATGAGAAAGACCCTCTATGACAGAGGAAATCCTTCCCCCAGAAACTTAGAAAGGCTTAGAGGACCAAGTAAGAGCACTCATTATGCTTACCTCCATAGGAATGAAGTTCAAGATGTGGTAGTTCAAAAAGACCTAGGTACATTTTGAAAACCAACTCTGTGCTGCTGGTAGACAGCTGGAAGTGAGGGACAGTTCCATAAATTCTGGGGATAAATCACCTGTTTGGCACCTGACTGGAAAAGCAGCACTATTTCCCTTGCTTCCAGAAACTTCATTGCAACTGCTGCCCATGGGTCTTGCTGAAGTAGATTTAGTGTGACAGAAGGTAACTGCTCTGCAAGTCTTCAATGAGTAGCTCTCACAGAGTTATAGCTTGAATTCCTCACTGTATCTTTCTTCCCTGGTTACATTAAAAAAAGGCTTTGTGGTTATTGCAGCTGTGAACAAAGAAATTGTTCACATTTGAAAAGCTGTCTGGGAAGAAATTTGTCAGCAATACAACTATGGATGAAATTCTACCTCTGTAGAAACAGAAGAGTTGAATACTGTAGTTCAACCACTTCTCACAGTATGTGTAGTTCTCTTTTTGGGTTGCTGAATCTGCAAAATAAAATTGGGATTCAGAGGACAGATAAGGGACTTAGCAGAATTATTGAATCCAGGATAGGTGACTTAGTACTTTAAAAAGTGATTTCAGGTTGACTGAGGCAGTCAGTATGGCTTTTTCAGTACAGTAGTGTAAGTACCTCAAGAAAATTCTTCTCAGTCATGGGAAAGTCTGAAAAAATGCAACAAAGGCAGTGTAAAAATAATACTGTAAGAACAGTAATCACAGACATTTTGTTATTTTAACTACATATTTCTCAAATGTAAAATTGCGTAAAATAAACCTGGGGGAATAGAACATAAGACATGCTGTAAGTACCACATCAGAAAAAAAGAGGCAGCACTTGACCAGATAGCAAGCGTTGCACCTGCAGGAGCTGCTTGGAATGCCAGTCTGTTTAGGATGCAGATCTGTGTGCATCTTCAGCACAAATACAGCTGAAGCTAACAAATAATTATGTTAATCTCATTAAGCTTTCCTCCCTCCTTGCACCTACTGGCTTCTACACTTGCATAATGGGCCATTTTCTACAGCCTAAAATGCCTGGCATTTCTACAGAGGCTCCTGCTGGAGGATGGTAAATAGGCTAAGATTATTTTAGCAAGATCATTTTCCATGGGCTCCTGGCTCAGTCAGTGGGGCTCCTCTGGGGAGAGATCCTAACCAGGCATGTCAGAGTTGCTCTGCCTGGTCCCTAGAAGAGGCTTTAACTGTGATCCCCTCCGTTGCAGAAATGTTAACACAGAGAGATAGCAGCACGAGTCTCTCTGATTTCCAAGGCTGTCAGCCATTTACCAGCACTAAAACTGCCTTAGTAAGCTGTGTGAGCCCTTGACAGAACCTCTAACACATCTTCTCTCCCATCTGCTTCTTGCAGACAGTGCTATTCTGGACGTGTGAAAAATACCCACGCACCAAGGATTGGCGCTGCTTCCCTGAAGCCTTTCTGAGGCTGGTACAGAAGTTGCACAAGTGTGTAAGCCAGCACTTCCTCAAGCATTACTTTCTCAAGAACACCAATCTGCTCAAATATGCCAACACCAGTGACCTGGACCTGGTGGCCAGCAAGCTTGCAGTCTTCTTGGAGAACCCAGTCTTCTGCCTGGACTGAGGCAGGCAAAGGTCTCCTCACCCCAACCCTGAGCCAATCCCCCACCTCCTCTCCCCACCTGCAGTTGTTCTTCATGTCCTTCCAGTAGATGTTGCAGCTGGCTTTGTAAGACAGTTGGCACATGCAGCATGAAAGAGAAGTGTCAAGCTGGCAGCAGTGGGCGGTGAAAACTGATGGAAGGTATTGCTTGATGCCCAGCTGATCTAATTTGCTTTCAACTGTGACAGCCTGCCTGGAAGCTACAGCCAGTGAAACCCAACTTCGTGTCAGTCAGAACAGGCAACTGCCTTGTTCTCTGACTCTAGTCTTGTGGCACTTAAGCAAGAAAAGCAAAGGAGTGCAAAGGAGTCTCGCTCTGCTGCCTATCGCCTCTGTAATTTAGCACGTGTATTGTTGCTGCAATTGCCTTCCTCACAAGGACAGCGGGTTTAATTGCCTGCTTGCCTCACAGGCCAGCGCTGCAGAAGAACACAGGAACATTTCTGAGGTGTCCAAAGCTGGAAGCTTTCTTGGAGGCACTTTGAAGTCTCCATCTCGGATTCAATGGGACCCTGCTCCAGTAAGACAATCATGCTGCTAGTGTTGAATAGCTCAACAAAAGCAAGAGGAGGAACAGTGGGGTTTTGCCTCCTCTTCATTTTTCTCTCCTGCACTTATATTTTTCTTCCAATTGCTTCAAATATGTTTTCTTCTTGTTTGCCAGTTGTGTTAGTGCCATACAACCACGAGGCTTTGCCAGAGCAGATTTCACTCCCATTCCTGACTCTATCCAGCAGGCTGGAGGAGGAGCAGGTCTTTCCCTAGTTTTTAGCACCCATGTATTTTTTGTGTGCCGTACAGAAGGAGGATATTTTTCAAAGGCTGTTAGCTCCAACTCCCACTCCCCCCAGTGCTTTTAATATTATGGATGTTTAGAAAGAAAATCAATTTAAATCTTTCGAAAGAACAGAGTTGTAGAATGAGTGTAAAGAATGCTGGTTTTAATGTTATTAAATCAGTGAAACTAAACCAAAGTTGGCTTTTTTTCTTTTTCTTTTCCTTGTTACACCTGTGTAGGAAAGTGTGTCAGTCTCTCCTTTGCCAAGGCGGGTGGCAGAGAGGATTTGCTGCTCGAGCAGCATCCGTGGCGCAGCGTCTCCCCCTTGTGCCAGATTGTGGTGTGACCACGCGTCTTCAGCACCGCCTCTGCACTCTGGCCTGGTCCCTGCTGCCGCCACTTCAGAGGGACAGGAACGTCCTGGAATGCGTCCAGAGCGTAACAAACCTGGTGGAAGGGCTGGCAGGCATGTCCTGTGAGGAGCGGGCTGAGAACTTTGGGCTTGTCAAGTTTAGAGAGATGGAGAGATGGCTCTCTCCAGCTCCCTGGGGAGGGGAAGGGGAGAGGGAGGTGCTGATCCCTTCTCCCTGGAATCCAGCGGTAGGACACGTGGAAATGGCTGAAAACTTCCTAGAGGGGTGGTCGATGCCCCAAGCATGTTTGAGAGGCATTTGGACAACATGCTTTAACTTTTAGTCAGCCTGGAAGGGTAGTTGGACTGGGTGATTGTTATAGGTCCCTTCCAACTGATATACTCAGTTCTGTTCTAATCTATTCTATTCTAGCCTTTCCTTCACCTAAGCATAGGAGGAGGCTTTCTTCTACAGTTCTTTAGCAGAGTAGATATGGGCCAGGCAGGATTCCAGCTATGTGGTCATTCTTGTACTGGTCTCTTGCATCAGATCCCACCATGTGCAGACCTGACCCTACCATGTAAACCAGCACCCTCCTTGCTCAGAACCTGGGAATACTCTCCAAGTCACCTTTCCACATGGGTAACCGCATTGTGTGGAACTGTTTTGAACAGTTAACTTCTCTTGCCAAACCTCTGTTCTCCAGGCTTCTTTCTAAATGGGACACAAGTGTCAGTTTCGTGATGACACCTCCTGTTAAACTGTGGCTTTCCTGTTTCCTGAGCTGTTTCAGCAAAGACCAAGGAGATGCCAATCTGCCAGGCAGAGTCAGGCAGCTGTGGCAATGAAGTAATGTCTCCTGTTTCGTCTTGGGTTTGTATTGTGGTTGAAGGGCTGGCTTCTGAAGTTAGAGGAGGACAAAAGCGGTTTGAAAGGACAGTGAAAAATGTTCGGAGTTATCAATCCCAAGTTTGATATTTTACTGCTCTGATGTAAGAACCTTTTGGGATTTAGTTCTGGCTCTTAAATTTATCTCCTTTTGTAGCTGGGTGAAAAAAATGTTTCAGTGGTGACATCTTAACTTGGATGCAGCTGCGTATCGGAGTCCTCAGTTGCTGTGGTTCACAGCCTGCTATGAAGCAAAATCATGGGCATGCACCGTGTGCTGCAGAGCCATGACGTGGGACGTTCCGCTGTTCTGCCAGAGTGGCAGCCTCTTACAGCCAGGAGTGAATCAGCAAAGCCAGCAAGTAAGCACAGAATGATGGACGCCTGCTCTGAGCCAAGTCTGATCATTTTTTTGCTCCATTTTCTTGTTGGTACACAGGCAAGTGCATCATCTAGCATATGCTGCTGCAGAAAATATCTTCATCACCATATAAAACTAAAGATCTGCCCTGGAAAGTACGTTGCTACTGACCACAAAGACACAGGAACAATCCCTCAGCTTTTTCTCCAGAACAGCAAGACACAACACAGCTGGCCACTAGCAAAGGGTGAGGGAAAAGAGTTCTTTGAAGTTCTTTGCAAAAGGAACTAGTGTATCCATTGAAGTAGAAGAATACAAGAAATAATTCCATCTCAGACATAGCTTTGAGGTATACTACATGCTATCTTACATCATCTAGTGCAGGTCTGGTTGGATCTGTGTGGGGATTTTGTGAGGCAGTTTTCTGTGGTTGTGGGAGAGTTGTGTAGGAGGTCTCTGATAAAAAACCAACCAAACAAAAAACAAACAAAAAACCAAACAACCCCCGAAACAACGACAACCCCCCCCCCAAAAAAACCAACCTCAAAAAAACTTGCCAAATATACTTGTCACATTTCTTATTCCAGTAAACTCTGCAAATAGCTTTTCACTTATACACCCAGTCTGATTGCAAAATCATGCCCTCATCCCAAGGTTTTCTTCCAAAAAAAGGATATCACATTGTGTTTTGGCTACAGAATAAGTTTTATTTTTCTTTTTTCAAAAAGTGATCATGTTGACAAATACAGACTTTCTTGAAGTAGGTTTAATCAAAAGTTCTATCTTTGTTCAGAGCATCTGGAAGGACTGTGATGACCATTTGTTCGCCCTCTCCTTTTCATTACTTTCATGAGTGTTTGCTGACTCCCAAAGGCACTGTCAGGGACAGAAGGAGAAATCTTGACCTTCATAATTTCTTTATGTTTGACAGTGACTTTTTGCTTACTTCTCAGTTTTGCTTTCTCTTCTTAACTTCTTCTTAACTCGTCTTAACTGTCTTTAAAACAAGAAGGGGCAAACAGTGGCCAAAAGGGAACTTCTTGCTTCCATGTGAAACACAGCACTCGAGAACAACAGGCATTCCCAAAACACTCACTTAAGCAAAAGAGGGAGGAATTAAAATGCATATTTGTGAGACTGGGGTGCAATGAGTGTTTCCAGAAACCCTCTGTTCACGAGACATGAAACTGCACCTCTGAGAGAATTTCGGCTGACTCATGGCTGAGCTCGTGGCCACCATTGCCTTTGCACAAGATTATGGTACTCAGCCTGAGTGCTAACTGAGGGTGTTTTTCAAGGTATGTGAAAGGTAGCTTGTTCAAGTAGCTTGTTGCTAGCTGTTGACTGGGCAGGAGAGGTATGTGGGATCCTCACTATTATGCCATGTGCGGGAGCCTTAGCTGAGATGAGAGATGCTGAGAAGGCTCATGGTGGGTGCTAAGGGCATCCTTACAGCTGCAGGGCGTTCACAGCCCTTACCACAGACAGCATCCCTTCATCTGTCTGAAACTTCAATTTTAATGTGTTGCTCTGCCATATAAAACCCTACAACATCACCCTCGTGATGTTTTAGTCCCTTTACATTGCCTGCCTTCAAATCACTAGAGGGCAATGTCTCTCTGAAGCACATACACCTCACTTGCTCTTAAAATCACCATCTTGTAGTTTATCATCTTGTTAGTTTATCATTGAGCTGAGACAAATGAGCATGATTAATTTAATGCTAAAAAGGAGAGAAGAAAATAGACCATGAAAGAGCTTTCTAATAAATAGCAAGACTTGGGTAAAAAGTCTCTAAACTCTGGGAACTGCTCCAAGAGCCAGAATATGGATTTATTTCTTTCTGCAGCAGAAGATGAGCTTGCAGTAACTCCCAGCTGCCTTGGGTTGGGGAGAGCACCAACAAGCAAAGTGCAGGCAGGGTTCTGGGAAGGAGGAAACTTGCAGGAATAGCCACTCCCCGACTCCATCAGGATCCTGCCCTCTCTTCATGGGGAGCTGGACCATGACTCCCATATATGCCTACCCCTCAGGCTCCTCTGTCTCACTCTTTTTCTCTTTTTCTCCTTCCCTCTCCTCTCCCCCTCCCCCTCAAAAAAAAAGAAAAAAAAAAGGAAAAAAAGAGATATTTTCTCTGAAGTTTTCTGATGCTCTGGTGGGAATGGTCATTTCTGAGTGCAAATCATCTCTCTTTTAGTTCATGGGACCCGAGTGTACACAGAGGCCATTACAGACCATCTACTCACCTTCATTTTTAGTTTGAAATGGTGCCAAGCAATGAAGTTAGAGTACCTTGCATACTATGTTCCCAGTGGGAGCAGCCTGGCCTCTCTGAGCAAAACAGTGGCATGGACAGTAATAGATAGCAAGCTAATTCTCCCTTCACACTAAGTATTTTTCTCCTTACCAATGCTAGAATTTCTGTTTTCAGGAGAAAGCTACTTTTTATTCTTATGCCTCATCCCCAAGGACTCTCATCTGAAGTCCTTGCAATGTCACATGAGACAGTGACACAGCACCCAGTGCTCAAATCGTGGTAAGAGATCCCAGCTGCCCTATCAGGCCAACCTGTGCCATGGCCATAAGGAGTTGTGTGGTGTCCTTGACCTCTTTGGGGTCTGACTTCTCTGACTGGAGTAATATGCATAGTTGCAAAGGAAGTAAAACAGCTCCAGGTAGCAAATGTGTTTTAGCCTGTTCTGACCCCAGCCATTGCAGCACAAAGAAATGGACAATGCTTTCATCATGTTACAGGTATTTATTTGTCAGTTCTGCTCCAAGCAACATCCTCGGTCTGAAAGAAAGGATAGGATCAGAGCCTGGCTTTGAAAGCATCTCCTGGGTGGGTGATGAGGAATGCAGAGATGCCACCAGAGACCAGGCCTGTGGAGAGTGCAGAATGTATTTTTCACAGGAAAGATTCTCTAATTTACCCTTAGCATCCTCATAAATAGAAATTACGAGGAAATGCATCAAGGAAAGAAATAATCAGATTGAAAGGCTTTATAATAATTAGAAAAAAGAATGGCATCTTCTCAGGCTCTCCTGGGTGATGGCGATTACCAGCTGCACAACTGTGCAACTTAAAGATTTCTGGAGTAAAAAGCTAAATACCTCCTTGTTTCTGTTCTCAGAGAAGCCACTCTTGGAAACAGGCAGCAACACAGGCCAACAGCTCAGAGAAGCCTGAATTGAGCCTCCTTCAGCCTGGCAGGGCACCACTTTACATTCAGGGTGGTCCAGAACCTGATCCCAAGCCATGGCCTAGTGGCATCT